ATAAATACTTAAACTGAACTGAACTTCTAAAACTCCTGACTGGCTTCAAATGATATAAAAATAATAGACTTCATTAATCTACACACTGGATTCATCCATCCTAAATATAATTAAGAGTTTGGTCTAATCCAGTGAGAATAGAGTAAACCATAAGTGTACTATATAGATGAAGAAGTAAGGAGATAAGCCAGACAACTTCCTTGAGCTAAAGGAGTTTATACTGGAGTCAGAAAAACAGGTTATATCCATAACAAACTATAACAGAAGAAAGAGAGAGCAGATGATTCCAGAGAACCAAAGAAGGCTGAGAAGGATTATTGGCTAGATCGTAAATGAGGAATGACATTTTGATGTGTTCAGATTGGGAGCAAGGAAGATGGGTTCTGTAATATTCTTGGTGAGCAGAATAATGTTCACAATAAAAAGGCCAGCATGTCAGATTTAGGTGTTTAAGGGTCAGTGTATGGAAGGCTTGAAAAGGGACGCTAAGAATTTGCTTGAGGAGAGATAATGAGTCTCTGAAAGCCCTTTCCACAGAGGAACAATAACCCAATCAGATTCTGTGCTTTGTGAGGACTGTCCTGGCAGCAGTGTGCAGTCCCTGCCTACCTTCTAAAGCTAAATATCAATATTTCATTCATTGGCCAGCCACAGTTTTCCCTTCCTGCTTCTACTTGGTGTGAACATTTGAAAGCTGATTGTAAAGTCTTGGCTCAAGAGAAGCAGCTGGTGAACCCTGGTTTTGAAAGAAAAAATGGATTCTGAATGGCTAAAGCATCTGGAATTTTAAAGATTGCATGATTGTTGCACAGAAGTCATTTGCTAAGGAATTTTTACCACAAAGTCATTAAAATCAGGAACTAACTAACAACAGAAGATTCTTCAAGGCCAAAAGTCTTATAGGACTAAATGGTGCTGACTGAAACATGGCTGTTCACTGGTGGCTCCAGCTGTGCCAGGAGGGGACCCTCCTCAACTCAGGGTGGCTGCCAGGGGAATCTCTGGAAGCAGTGGGCTTTGCTTCGGTTGCATAAGAACACAGCATATAAACTGAATTACAATCATTATTATCAAAAGAATCATTCTGGCCAGGTGTGATGGTTCACATCTGTAATCCTAGCATTTTGGGAGGTCAAGGCAGAAGAGTTGTTTGAGGCCAGGAGTTCAAGGTCAATCTGGCCAACATAAGGAGATCCCATCTTTTTTAAGGAAAAAAAAAAAAAAAAAAAGAATAATTCTAATTCTGGTCTAATGACCCTAACCTAAAATATTACCTATTTTTTTTGTAATCAGAAGCTTTGTGTGCTGGTCTTTAAATCTTGTTTAAGGGACCAGGCACGTTGGCTCATGCCTGTAATCCCAGGAACTTGGGAGGCTGAGGCAGGCAGATCACGAGGTCAGGAGATCAAGACCATCCTGGCCAACATGGTTAAACCTTGTCTCTACTGAAAAAACAAAAATTAGTTGGGTGTGGTGGTTGCACCTGTAGTCCTAGCTACTCGGCAGGCTGAGGCAAAGGAATCACTTGAATCCGGGAGGTGGAGGTTGCAGTGAGCTGAAATCACACCACTGCACTGCAACCTGGTGCAGTGGTGTGATTTTTGAGAACAGCACTCCATCTCAAAAAAAAAAAAATTCTTGTTTACAGGTCACCATTGTACCCTCTCTTTGCTCTGAAGGTCCTGCATCAAACTTTAACCAAAACCACAATAAAATTCAAACATCAACAATTTAGTCTCTAATCCTTCTCCAATCAAAATATTTAGACTTTATAAAAAGAAAACTTTTTAATGAACATGAGAAACTGACTTTTTTCTAAGTTAAGGTCATAATATTTGAGCAATTAGCAAGTGCTATTTTTGCCATTTAACAAAAACAGTAATAGTTTGCATCCCATTTTTGAAAGACACAAATGGATACATGCAGCATAGAAAAATGAGTTACAAGAGGCCGGACACAGTGGCTCACGCCTATAATCCCAACACTTTGGAAGGCCAAGGTGGGTGGATCACCTGAGGTCAGGAGTTCGAGACTGGCCTGATCAACATGGAGAAGAATCCCTGTCTCTACTAAAAATACAAAATTAGCTGGGCATGGTGGCACATGCCTGTAACCCCAGCTACTCAGAAGGCTGAGGCAGGAGAATTGCTTGAATCCGGGAGGCACAGGTTGTGGCGAGCCAAGATTGTGCCACTGCACTCCAGCCCAAGCAACAAGAGCAAAACTCCACCATGAAAAAAAAACCGGAAGAAAAATGGGTTATAAGAACAGAGACACCAAGCTGTTTGTCTACCTTGGTGAGATTACAGTAGATTTTAACATTCATTTACTTGTTTGCAGTTTTCTGTGCTTCCTGTAATGAGCAAGCATTACTTCTGGAAAAACAAAAACCAATAAGATAAACTTAATTTAGGAAACAAATAAACAAGGAATTGTTTCTGCAGCACAAAGAGCATTCACGCTCCTCTCGGAAGTTTTTGCTTCCTCTGGCAGGATCTTGGGTGAGCAATGAGCTTTCTGCAGAAAAGTCCTGGGGCCCAGCCCTGCAAGGTAACCACGACACCCAAAGCCTGGATCCCTGTTAACACCTAATGTAGTATCCTAAAGGTTCTGGCAAGTGAGCGTTAAAACAAAACATTAATCCAGATACCACTTCAAGATTTGCAATGAGATCTCACAATCTGTTCCTTCAATGTTTTAATAACTTTTCTGCAAATTGTCATCATTCGTTATACAAGAAGATAGTTTAAAAGGTATTTTATAAAACAAGGCTGAAAGAAATTAAAATTACCCCAAAGCCTCTTTTGCCAGAACTAACAATTCAGTCTTACATTTTGGGTCTATAGATACGCAGGATGGAGGCTGGGCCCAGTGGCTCATGCTTGTAATGCTAGTGCTTTGGGAAGCCAAGGTGGGAGGAATGATTGAAGCCAGGAGTTCAAGACTAGCCTGAGCAACATAGCAAGACTCCATCTCTAAAAAAATAATTAGGTGGGCATGGTGACATGTGCCTGTAATCCCAACTACTCAGAAAGCTGGGACAGGAGGATCTCTTGAATCCAGAAGTTCAAGGCTACAGTGACCCATGACTGTGCCACCACACTGCATCCTGAGGGACAGAGAAAGACCCTATATCTCTTAAAGAAAAACAAAAAGTTACCTAAAATCTAATATAGGTCTGTTCTGAATCACGGCTCCACCCTGTAATTTCAGTTTGGCCAGTGGCTGAGAACACAGCTGTGAGTGGCACCCACCAGGGTTCTAATCCTGGCTTTATGCTTATGAGCTCTGTGGGCTTGGGAACCAAGCACAGTGACCCTGAACCTCGTATTTGTCCTAGGGAAATGAGGACTGTCATCACGGTCCCATAAAGATGCAGGGAGAAGTTCATCAAAGGAATTCCTAATGAAATGTCTGGCACATTTTAAGTTCTAAAGACCCGCAGATGTTATTCTTCCCTCCTAGTACTATCATGTGTGATATGTGCGTAATGACTCATACTCCATGAGGTGCCTTCAGATCTTTTACCTCATTTGATCCTCAGACAATGCGATCAGAACAAAAGGCAGTAATTACTACCCCCATTTTTCTTTTATCTTTTTTTGTAAACAGATGAGAAAATAGGCTCAAACTCCAAGAGCCGGAAAAGCAGCATGTCCCTTGTCCAGGGCTCTTTTTGCTCTGTGGCACAGAACTGAACCTCAGAGGACTTCATGTATCATGCCAAGTGTAATAAAACTACATTTATTTTTAAATGTCCTGCTATTCCTACATTAATAAAATCCAACTGGTATTCTCACATTACTCCCAATTATTTAGAGTTTGCTTAGTAAAAAGAGGCACTAACGTTTTTTGAGAGCATGCTGGGTATCTCAGGCATTGGGTGAGGTGCTTCACGTCCACTGTCACAGTTAAACTGCATAACAACACTATGAAGCAGGTACTGTCATAGTGTCCACTTTATAAATGGGGAAAATGAGGCATAGCTAAGTCCAGGATTGACATGCAGGCAGACTGTCTCCAAAGCCCAGCTCATATGGTCCTAGTGCTGCTCAACTCAAATTTGTCCAGTCAATGATAACACTTTGCAAAGTGAATTCCCATACAACAAAGCTAACGACACAGGGAGGCCAGATTATGAGTGTTCTCTTTTACATTTCAGGAGACTAAGGCTCTGAGAGGTTAAGCGACTGACCCAGCCCTGTGCTCGCCCAGCAAGGAAACAAGGCAGCAAGCACTCCCTAACTCCAAATTTCACTGACTTTGGAAAACCTCACATTCCCTTGCGAATATTTTAAGAGTGAGAAGGTAGAAGTCCTGTCATTGTTAAAAAAACAACCATCCACTCAGTGGTCATCACTAACAGCTGACCGCGAGACCCGCGCTCCGGGCGGTGGAAACCGAGCAGTCTCCGGCTTGGGCCGTGGGCGTGCCTAGTAGGAAGTGGGCGGTGGAACTGATTTCAGAGCAGCCCCTAGGGGAGGCGCAGGCACCAGGTCCTGGTCCCTCTCCCAGCCTCCTCCCTCTAGCTGCCCGAAGGGGTGGAACCAGAGATCCAGCTGGGTCTGGGGATTAAGGTAGGATGTCCCCTGTCCCCTGGGGGCGCAGGCTGGGGCGCACCGCCAGGAGACTGCGCGGCGCAGGTGTCCCGGGACGGATCCAAACCCCAAGCACGCCCCGGCAACCCTCCCCGAACACCAGGGCACGCAGCGGGGGCGCGGGTCAGACGCCTGCAGTTTCGAAAACTGCCGGTCCCGGGGACAGCCGCACAGTCCTGAGTCAGGGACCTGGCCCGGCTCGGCGCTGGCACCAGGCTGGCAGCCCAAGACTGGCTCTTCTCTCAACCCCGCACGCCGCGCGTCCTGCCTCAGTTTCCTCACCTAGAAAGGGGTTGTCAACAGAAGCACGCCCCGACCTACACGACTTCCTGCGGGCCAGAGAGCGCCCTCCCTGCCAGGACCCCCCCAGGACATGCTAGGACGTGGTGGCAGCTCCCCTACCTGCGCAGTGGCCCACGCCGCCGCCACAGGCGGCCGGGGCGCCCCGGGGACCCCCGCCTGGCATGCTCCTCCCGCTCCGCCTGAGCCGCCCGCCGCTCGCTCCCCGAGGCCAGGGGCGGGGGAACGGAGCGGTGCGCAGGACGGGAAGTGGGGAGGGGGCGGGCGACGCAGGGGGCGGCTCCTTTCTTCTCCTCAGCGAGGCCGCGGTTTCCTTGCCAGCGTTGGCTCCTCACGCGCGCGCGCGCACACACACACGCACACGCGCACACACACACACACGCACACGCGCACACGCGCACACACACACACACGCACACGCGCACAGACACACATACGCACACGCGCGCACACACACACACGCAGCTGGAGCGGGCGGGACCCGCGGCCCTCACAGCCTGTTTCCGGGATCTCAGGCCCTCAGAAAGTTTGCTCTCACTGTGGCTCATTTCTGGAGGAAACAGGAGGGGAAGTGCGGGAGGCCTTGAGCACGGGGTGTGGGAGGGCGCCTTCCAGACGCGTGATGTGAGAAGTGACCACACAGTGATGGAGAAGATGGAGGGAGGTGAGAGACTCATTTATACAAAGTGCGGGGAGGGGGGGACGGTGGGGATGACTGATGACCCTGAAAAGAGATGAGTGGCAGCAGATGTTTAGAAATGAGATGGAATTCCAATTTCTAGCATCTTCCAGCAGCTCTGGGGTGGTTCTCGGACACAGGAGTCCATGCAAGCTTGCTCCTAGGCCGCTGACTCAACCCTTCTCTTTGGTTCATTCAAGGAAACTGCTAGAGCACCCCCCTAGGTAGCACCTGCTATAGGACAATGGGTACAAGGAAGGGCTACACGTGGGCTCTGTGTCCTTAAGCAGCTCACCTCCAGGCCAGAAGGAGAGCACGGGCATATAAAACCAAATCACATCATGAGATAGAATGTGCCATGTGCCAGAGGCTTGGCACAAACCTTCTTGCAGGTGGTTCAGGGATAGGAGGGAGGATTCTGAAGAAGGGTTGGGGAGACGTTCTGCAGGAAAGGGAAGGATCTCCTCAGAAAGACGGGAGTTACAACTAGAGGAAGGCTGAGGTCCTTCAAAAGCTGACAATCTTATGAGTGAAAGCATACAGTTGTGCTTAAAATTAGTGTTTTGCCCAGCATGGTAGGTAGTGCACTCCCATAGTTTCAGCTACTCGGCAGGCTTAGGTGGGAGGATTGCTTGAGCGCAAGAGTTCAAGGCTGTACTGAGCTATGATGGGGCCCCTGCATTCTAGCCCCGGTGACAGAAAGACTCCCGCCCCTCTTCCCACGTCTCTAAAAATAAATGGATATGAATATCTAAGGCTAGACACTTTGGGAGGCAAAGTGGTAGGTTCACTCGAGTCCAGAAGTTTGAGACCAGCCTGGACAACACAATGAGACCCATTTTTTTTTTAACTTTTATTTTAAGTTCAGTTTGTTACATAGGTAAACTTCTGTCGTGAGTGTTTATTGTACAGATTATTTTGTCACCCAGGTATTAAGTCTAGTGCCCATTAGTTGTTTTTCTTGATCGTCTCCCTTCTCCTACCCTTGACCGTCCAAATGGTACCAGTGTGTGTTGTTCCCCTCTGTGTGCCCATGGGTTCTCATCATTATCTCCCACTTGTAAGTGAGAACATGCAGTGTTTGGTTTTTTGTTCCTGTGTTAGTTTGCTAAGGATAATAACCTCCAACTCCATCCATGCCTCTGCAAAGGACATAGTCTCATTCCTTTTTATGGCTGTGTAGTATTCCATGGTATATATGTACCACATTTCCTCTATCATTGATGGGCATTTAGATTGATTCCATATCTTTGCTATTGTGAATAGTGCTGCAATTAACATGTGCATGCAAGTGTCTTTATAACAGAATGATTTATATTCCTTTGGGTGTATACCCAGTAATAGGATTGTTGGGTCAAACAGTATTTCTATCTTTAGGTCTTTGAGGAATCGCCACACTGTCTTCCACAATAGCTGAACTCATTTACATGCCCACCAACAGTGTAAAAATGCTCCTTTTTCTCCACAAATTCTCCAGCATCTGTTATTTTTTGACTTTTTCATAATAGCCATTCTGACTGGTGTTAGATGGTATTTCATTGTGGTTTTGATTTGTGTTTCTCTGATAATCAATGATGTTGATAATCAGTGATGTTTTTTCATATGATACTGTCCGCATTTGTTTTCTTTTGAAAAGTGTCTGTTAAGTCCTTTGCTCACTTTTTAATGGGTTTTTTTTTCTTGTAAATATAAGTTCCTTATAAGATGCTGGATATTAGACCTTTGTCAGATTATAGTTTGCAACATTTTTTCCCATCTGTGGGTTGTCTCTTCACTCTTTTGATAGTTTCTTTTGAGGTTCAGAAGCTCTTTAGTTAGATCCCATTTGTCAATTCTTGCTTTTGTTACAATTGCTTTTGATGTCTTCATCATGAAATCTTTGCCCATACCTATGTCCTGAATGGTATTGCCTAGGTTGTCTTGCAGGGTTTTTATAGTTTTGGGTTTCACATTTAAGTCTTTAATCATCTTTAGTTAATTTTGTATAAAGTGTTAAGGTAGGGGTCAGTTTCAATCTTCTGCATATGACTAGCCAGTTATCCCATTACCGTTTATTGGACAGGAAGTCCTTTACCCATTGCTTAGCAAAACCCTTTCTATAGAAAAAAAAAATCATTAGCCAGCACAACAGTGTGAATAAATTAACACTACCAAACTCCACACATAAACATGGTAAATATGATGTGTTTTTTACCACATTTAAATGGAAATAAAATATCAGTAGCAAAAATTGTGTTTTAAGAATATGGGAATCTCCTAGAACTTTACTAATAATAATGCATGGACACTTAGCACATGCCAGACACTATTTTACACAATTTAAACTTGTTAAATGCGTTTCAACTGTGCAATAACCTGATTTTATATCCATTTCTAGACAAAGTAACTGAGGTACAGATGATTAGAACTTACTCAAAATCTCAAACATAGTAAGTGGCAGACCAGGGATTTGGGCCCAGAGAATCTGGCTGTAGAGCCCATATTCCTACCGACAATCATATACTGTCTCTCACTAGACAAAACGGCATTTCCTGACGCCTGAGTACAAACTGTCACTCTCTGGTCATATAATGAAACTTATATTTAGCTAATTAAGTTTGCTGCATTTTCATGCATAATATTCTCTCTCCCTTCCCCTAATTTTATTCCCAGAAGTAGCTGAGAGGAGAGTAGGTGGCTCTGATAATCATGCTTTACATACAATCAATGTACCTTTTCATCTCCCCTTCTAAATTGTAAGCGTTTTGAGGGCAAATGTCATGCCTGATTCAATTTTGCATCCTGTCTGGCCAGAGACTTATTGGAATAAATTATCTAAATTAAGATTCTGACTCTTGACAGGCTGGTTGATTTATCTGTCAAGTGCCCTGCAAGTTCTCTGAATATGGCAATGATAGATACTCAAGAAAATTCCCATCAAGTTGCATAACTAGAGTTAAAAAGGAAATATTCTCATTGAGAACAATAACAATGCCTAAACAATTCTGGGAAATTTAATTGTCTAAAGGAGATCTTTTCTTTAAAGAAATGTGAATGAACTGGGAAAAAGAAATCAGTCTTAAATCCAGGAAATAACATTAGACAACATGAAGACTCTCATTTGTTAATGCCTGGAAATAGGAAGTTGGTTCAGTTTCAAATACCATCAGATAATGGCTGTGCCAAAGGATGTTATCCTAGTGTTAGGCTAAATATATAATATAAATAACCTTCCTTTTGCAGTGCATATTGTCTTAAAGCGACAGTAGTGAGATAATTCCTGGGAAACTGGCAGAGAGGCTACAAGATCCCACTCTAGACCTGTGATCCCGAGATGCCTGAAACTTGTGGGAATCTGCATCTCCCAGTGATTAGCTTCTGCTAGAGATGTGGCACTCGGAATGTGTTTACATGGTCCAACAGCCAAAGCGGTTAAGGAAAGGCACATTAATTTTACTCTGCATAAAGACCCACAACTCAATGGTTTAAACCTGTTTCTGCCACAGTTTACCACATGTAATGTAGGAACAGCCAACCCCACCAACTCAGAATCTCTCCAGTCAGAGACTGAGTCACAGTTACATAGTTGATTGTGGAGGACTGCTCCTCCCTGGCTGCTCTGTTTTGAATGAGTAGAATTTGTTCTCTATCGGAAGTTCAGTGGCTACATTTACTCCAACTTCCACCAAGGAAGAGATACTCACCCCTCACTGTTTATCCTCTCAGCCATATCCCCTGTCATTCCTAGGTGGCGGGCACCAGCCCTCTCTTTCCATCGTCACACTGATCATCTCTTGTGACCCTTGACAGGTAATATTTTGTCACTCTCACAGCTCTCGTTACCGGGGACAACATGAATGGCCATAATCATAGGGGGCAACGTTGTTATCATTAGAAAGCTCAGCAATTCCAAGCCTCTTTTTCTGATTTTTAATCTTTTGGCCAACCCCTTTTCATTGGTTTTCTGGCCCAGTCCTCTCACACCTGATTTTTATGTTGTCTGAGCAGCACAAATTCCTTGCTTGTGCCTTCTTAATGGGAGAGACGGGACCTCCGCACCCCCCAAAACTGCTGCACATTGCAACCATCAGGAGCTTTTAAACGCCCCAATTCAACAGCCATATTAGCAGATCTCAGCAGGCCCTGGAGGCAGTTTCAAAGACAGTGTCCGTAAACGGACCACTGTCCAAAGTCAGGACTTCGTCTCATTCATAAAGTGTTTGACGTTAAGCCACTCACATTTTTCCCATTTCGTCCTTATTCTTCATGTGCTTCACAGTGAGTAAAGAAATCGTGGGCTTTAATCTTCTCTTGCGAATGCTGTTAGTGGTCAGGTCTCTATAAGGCTATTCCAGGGAAAGAAAGGTTCACGCCATTCAGCCAATTTGAAATTAGAATTCAAGAATGGGTTAGGGGTTCTTTCTCTAATTAAATGTGTGTGTTTGGGGATACATCACTTTATTTTCTAGCATCCTTTTTTGAAAACAAAGGGGAAACCAGATGCGTGTCTTTTAAACTATTGTTTCATGGCTGGTTGCTAAAAACTTAAGAAAACAAAAGAAGGTGTTATAATGACACTAACATTTTATTTTGCCAAGTAAATTTACTTTTTTTTTTTTTGAGGCAGAGTTTTGCTCTTTTTTGCCCAGGCTGGAGTGCAGTGGTGTGATCTCAGCTCACTGCAACCTCTGCTTCCTGGGTTCAAGCAATTCTCCTGCCTCAGCCTCCTGAGTAGCTGGGATTATGGCACATGCCACCACGCTCAGCTAATTTTGTATTTTTCGTAGTGACGGGGTTTCACCTTGTCAGCCAGGCTGGTCTTAAACTCCTGGTGTCAGGTGATCCACCTGCCTCAGCCTCCCAACGTGCTGGGATTACAGGTGTGAGCCACCGCACTCAGCCATAAATTTATTAAAAAAAAAAAAAAAAAAAAAAAAAACTTCTACCAACTACCATCACCACCATTTCATAAAGAAAAGCCTTTTTTTAACCTCAAAAAAAATAATAAATATGTGATAGAAGCTAGGACACTTCCTTAAAATGAGTGAATTTTGCTTTCTGAAAGCTCATTTATCCTGGTTTTTTCTTTCTTTGTTATTTTGCCCTGGCCGGTGAAACTTCCTTAGTAGATAGGACCAGTCTCCAACTGTGGTCTTAGGGACCAACTAATGAGACAGCTTCTAAGCTGCGGAATCCAGAGAGCTCCTCTTTTAGGTATGATGCACAGAGTTTGCAATAATCCCACAAATATGATTAAGCTTTATGTTATGAGAATGTTTACCCGTTTTCAAGTATAAACCTGTTTGTAAGATTTTGAATTTCAGATTTGGCCTTTCAGAGGACAAAACTGGAACATAAGCATGAGAACTAAACTACTATTCGTTACAGAGGCATTCACCAAATATTTCTGAGTTGCTGGCACCCAGGCACACAGTGGGAATGCCTTTCCAACCTCTTTGAAGCTGGGGATGGCCATGTGACTGGCTTTGGTCAGTGAATTGTGAGCAGAGGAGATATGATTGGGGGAGATACACTTCACATCTGGGAGGAAGCTTTAGAAGCCAATGCTTGATTCATTGCTCTTTGTCTGCCTCTATAATAGTAAAAGTAAGTCTTCCGATGGAGCACCTGTCATTCTCAATCCTGAGGGCCTCTATGAGTAAGATCTCACCTGTAAGCTTCCATAGAACATAAAACATGAACAAGAGAAAAGGAAGCATACACTGAATTAAGCTTTGAGATGTAGGTGTCTTTGTTGCCACAGGATAACCTATCTCATCTTGATTAGTCTACCAAAGTTCTCTCAGTTCTGAAAGCCTGTTACGAGTGGCCACATGATGGCTCAGATCTTAAGTTGTAGAACTGGAGCTACTTCTACCAACAACACTGTCGTCAGCAACATTCACATTCTTCGATCATGCCACCTCCCCCAAATCCTAACTAAACTGATTCTAATATTGAGCAAGGCGTTTTTCCAGAAATGAAATCCAAAGCTTGGCAATAGTCAGAGCACACGAGGGCAGAATCGTGACAACATGGGAAAGAGAAGATTTCACAGGGTAGAGTGCTCCTTGGGGGATTTCCTTGCTCTAGGTTAGAATCAGAAGGTTAAAAGACTTCCAACCTGGTATCAAAATGTTTTATGGAATTTAAAGAAATCTTAAAGGGGAAAGGGAGACTCTTCTTTCATTCATTAGGCATCTTGGACTATGGATACAATGGCTGGAGCTCTAGACGCCATCTTGAACCTTGAAGACAAAAGCCGCAGCTTAGGAATGGCAAAGCAGTTAACTGGAATTAAGTCTGGTTCCATGACAACTTTGTGGAGTTTCCATATACCCCCTTGATTGTCTTCCTTTAGATTTCCTTTATTGTACGGAGAAAAAACTGTTACCTTGTTTATGCCACTGTTAGTTGTTTTTCCTTATATAAACCCAAGCCTAAATCTAACTATTACCTACCATGGGTTTTTTTTTTAATTATTATTTGAAATATACTGTTTTTCTTATTTTTTTAAATGTTTTGGCTTTTTTGAATTTTTGCAATTTAAAATAATGTATATAACTTATTTTAAAAGAAATTTGAATGTACTAAAGAGACATATTCTTTGTATTAATGTGTGAACAATCAGAGCATGGAGCCCTCTGGTGTGGGAACTGACCATGGGGAGTCACCTGATTCCAGGCTGCCTTCCTTCAGTGTCTGAGGCTCAGCTCTGATGCACAGGGGTGGGAGGATGGCTAAGGCATTTTTACTTTGATCATCTTGGTTGAGTTTTGAAGGCTTTTGTTACCTGGCCCTTCTCTTCACAATGGGTTGGCATCTCCAAGTCTCTGGCCCAAAGCTCTGAGGATATGATTACCACTTCCCTTCACCCAGAGCCTATTGAGAAAAGGCAACCACTACTTCTTTCGCTGTGACTCCAGTCAGCTTTTTGTGCTTTCTCAAAGACCAATGAGTCATTACAGCTCAACCGGCCTTCTAAACAGCCAGCGTTTGAACTGAAATGTATGTATATGTGGTACATAAGGAAAGTTAGGGGTCTCAAAACACGTCATTAAAATCTTGAGGCAATATTGAGCAACTTTGTATTTTAATCTCTGGGGATCTATTTAGCCTCTGGGTTTTGAACCTTTTGATATAAAATTTAACTGGCAGTCACCTCTTCCTGGGGGCCACTCAGGTGAGGAGGCTCCAGCAAGGGTGTAGAAGAGGATGAGAACACATCCCTGATGCCACGTTTCCCTGATGCCACGTTACAGCGTAAGAACAGAGAATGAAGACCAGTGATGACCACTGGAAATAGTTTACAATTCCACTGTATTAGTCAGTTCTCATGCTGCTAATAAAGACGTCCCCAAGACTGGGTAATTTATAAAGGAAAGAGGTTTAATTGATTCCATTCAGCATGGCTGGGGAGGCCTCAGGAAACTTACAATTATGGTGGAAGGGGAAGCAAACACGTTCTTCACATGGTGGCAGGAAGAGGAAGTACAGAGCAAAGAGGGGAAAACCCCTTATAAAAGCATCAGATCTCATGAGAACTCACTCATTATCACGAGAACAGCAAGGAGGTAACCACCCCCATGATTCAATTACCTCCCACCAGGTCCCTCCCACCACACATGGGGATTATTGGAACTACAATTCAAGATGAGATTTGGGTGGGGACACAGCCAAACCGTATCATCCACCAAAGGTATCTTGCTTGCAGGTCATCTTCCACCACCTATCTGCTGAGCTTTGCTTAGTGATGACAGCCAACTTTATCATCAGCCTGGTTCACGTGGAATTGGAAAGGCCAGTCTGCAGCTGCCCACCTCCTCTATCAAAACAACTGAATGTGAATTCTAAAGCCCAGTAGACACTTAAAAAGTTATCTGTGCAAAATTCCTTCCATTCAGGCATATATGCAAGAACTGACTCTACTGACATAATGCATTTGAACCGCTTCATATGTAGCAATCCTCCCTCATTGCTATTTTCTATCTTCCCTTCCCCTATTCTGCTATTACCTATTTCACTACCCCAACTGAGAAATAAGATCATTTTGTCGAAGTTTGCATAAAGAGGTTTTACCATCTTGTCAGGAAGGCATTTTTCCCCATTCATTCTTCAAAGAAAGTCATTCTCCCTAACAATCAAAATTATCTATTTTCATTATCTGTCTTCCAGGATACGACACTGAATGAGCCAGCACTATTGGGGAACTAACAGCACTGAGAGCCTTTTAGGCTCTTGCAGAAGCCCTTGCCCAGTGAAATGTGCACTCATGCACAGTTCCGGCTGCCCTTCCTGCACAAGGTCAATGCCAGAAGCTCATCTAACTGGTTTGCCCCCAGTGCCCTCGAAACAGCAAAGCCACACACGGCGATCCAACCACAGCCCTTCCCAGGAGACGCTGACTAAAGCACTTCACTCATTGAGAAGATTTTGTCCTAATCCAAAGGCTTTCTACCTTCCTGGTCATGAAAAGCTGACATGGAACATCCCGTGATTTGCTAGAGATAATGGTTCCAGAAGCACTGCCAGAGCACACCAAGACTATGTATTGATATCTGCATAGACATTAAACCCATGGTTTCATCTCTTTGGTTACTGTTGCCATCAACCAACCTATGCATGTAATTAGCACCTCCTGGATACACAAGCAGTGCTAGGCACTGTGGGGGATGCAAAAATTAGCCGGCTGCTTGGCAGCAAAGAGAAAGGAAAATGCGTAAATACAGCGCAGGGGATTATTAGGGCAATGAAATCATTCAGCAGGCTACTGTAACAGTGAATACATGATATGATGCATTTGGCAAAACCCATTGAATATACAACACAAAGAGTGAACGCTAATGTAAACTATGGACCTAAGTTTATAGTCATGTATCAATATTGGCTCATCAGTTGTAACAAATGTGCAACCCAGTGCAAGATGTTAATAACAGAGGAAGCTGTGGGGAGGAGGAAGGAGTATACGGGAACTGTGTACTTTCTGTTCAGTTTTTCTGCAAACCTAAAACTACTTTAAAAAATAATCTATTGGTTGGGCACAGTGACTCACGCCTGTAATCCCTGCACTTTGGGAGGCCAAGGCAAGAGTATCAGTTGTGTCCAGGAGACCAGCCTAGGCAACACAGAGAGACTCTGTCTCTACAAAAAGAAAAAATAAAGTCTATCCATTCAACAAAATAGCAGGCTACCTGAATAGATGAGACTGGCTCACATGTAGCAGAGGATATGTGATAAGGCAGTAGGTAAGAAGGTCTGCAGTGACATGGTTCAGGATCCCAGGTGCAACTCTTTCTTCCACTTCCTGCAATTCCTCACATTTTCAATTTTAGGGCTGTGAACTTCACAGCAATAAGGACCAGCTAAGAAGAAGCCTATGAAATTGGCTTGCACGCCATCCAGCACTGCATATATCTAAATAAAGTCGTAAATAAATACATGTGTTATTTTTAATCCTAACCTTGGAGAAACAGAGAAGAGGAAATGAAGCACACATGAGACCGGATGAAGGAGAACGTGCCTGCCAGTGTGGGAAAAGCCCTCAGCAGCATCAGTCATCTGGCAGTGGTGGCAAATGGAGTGAGCAGAGATGAAATATCTGCATTCCACTGGTGGCCGTGATAGTAATAGAAAATGCATAAGGCGAAAGTGTTCTCACAGGTCCATATAGGAGAGCGAATCATCCTGGATCACGCGTGTCTGAGGTCCTGAGCTTCACACCTTGTGTCAGGTGTGTGTTGCCAGTGGAGAAACTGAGCTGCGTGCATTCTTGCGCATGAGCCAGACGCCTTGACAGATGGTAAGTACCTGCTCCTCCGGGCACCCATCATCTGAGCAGCCTGGCAGAAGGAGCCCAGCTCCCTGTGCCCAGTGGTAATCTTATATCCTGGGACTTAAGGAGTGATAGCCCTTTGCAATTGTTCTTTCCAGGCAATATTTAAAGCTGAGAAGTCTGGTTTACACTTGATTGTTTATAGTAAGAAAGAGGGATATGGATAGACAGACAAGTCAGGGATTAGAAAGGAAAATCAACAATATCTGACATTGCTGATTATTAGGGTTTCAAAGCATTTTCTCATCCATTTGCTCTTTGAATTATTACAACCAACATTTGGGTAGCAGGAAGGAATCATTCCAGTTTTCTAATAAATCAAACAAACTGAGATGCAGAGAGTTGCCCACAAGTATGGCTAGTAACCGGCAGTGCATCCAACGGGGTTGGACTGCCCAGCAACTTCCTTAACCCAAATAAGATACAGGTTCTGCCTGCATGGGGTCTTGGTTCTTTGGAGAATACACAGAGACACATTTTTAAAAGTTATTTAGAACTTTGGAGAAGGCAGGAAACCACTATGGGCTCAGGTGGTCTTTGTGAAAGAGAAGAGAAAACAGGGAGCATCTCCCAGGCAAGAGGAGACCTCAGCGTCAAACCACACAGCCTGTCTAACAGAACTCCCAACCTGCAGCTGACAGCTCACCTTGGTGAGAATCCATAGGAGGCAACTTCAGAGATGAAGGTTAAGGCCAGGTTGTGAAGGGCCTTTAATGCCAGACTAACTAAGGGCTTGAGCTTTTATCTCATCACCAAGAAGGAGCCATTAAAGATTCGGAAGCAGTGGGGAATATGCACCAAGTAGGCTTTGGGGAAAGGATGACCCTGAGGGAAAAGAGAGGCAGCAGGATGAGGAGCACAGACAGGGGTTGGGAAGGATGTGGAATTGGAACAGAGGTGGTGGGAAAGTGGAAGGGAGATGGAGTGGAAGGAATTGAGAGGGAAGGACCACGGTACAAGACAGTGTGAAGAAATAATGGCACTCCTAAAGTTAAATTTGAGATGCGGCTGACCATGGTGGGAAGTCCCTGGCAAGCCATCAAGAGATGATGGGCTGATGGTCAGGAGAAAGGTCCAGAGACAGTTATCTGTGTAGATGTGATCATTAAAGCATTAGGAGGGATGAGAAGGTAGAATGGGAACAGAATACTGAAACTTGGGTCTTCCCACCTTTAAGGAGTGGGATCAGAGAAAGGAGTGGGATCAGGGAAGCAAGAAAAAGATGTCAGAGGTGGGAAGAGAAGTGGAACAGAGGGAAGGCCACACTCCCAGAAGTCTTCCCAGTCAGGCCCCTGGCTCCAGTTGTGCCGCTTCGTTTCTTCACACCAACTTGCTCCCTGTGTCTAAGCTGTGTTCATGTCTCAGGTCCTGCCAGACTGTAGTACCAAGTTGGAGACTTAGAGACATCCGCTGAAGTTTACTTGCCTTATGATGATCCAGAACAAAGTCATGAAAACCAGACAAAAATAGTTTCAAAAAGGAGATGTGGGACTGGCCACAGTGCTTTTGAGAGGCTGAGGCAGGAGGACTGCTTGAGGCCCAGAGTTCAAGAACAACCTGGACAATATAGGGAGACCCCATCTCTACAAAAAATAAAAATAAAAATTAGCCTGGCTCAGTGGCATGTACCTGTGGTCTCAGCTACTCAGTAGGCTAAGATGGGAGAATTGCTCGAACCCAGGAGGTTAAGGCTGCAGTCAGCTGTGATCCTGCCACTGCACTCTAGCCTGGGCAAAAGAGCCAGACTCTGTCTCAAAAAAGGGGGGCAGGGGGGCGCGGTGGCTCACACCTGTAATCCCAGCACTTTGGAAGGCCAAGGCAAGAGTTCAAGACCAGCTTGCCCAAGGTGGTGAAACCCCATCTCTACTAAATATACAAAAATTAGCCAGGCGTTATGATGGGCACCTGTAATCCCAGCTACTCAGGGGGCTGAGGCAGGAGAATCAATCGCTTGAACCTGGGAGGCAGAGTTTGCAGTGAGCCAAGATCATGCCATTGCACTCCAGCCTGGGCAACAGAATGAGACTCTGTCTCAAACAATAATAATACAAAGTGGGGGGAGATATTGGGCAATAAGAACTGCAAAGACCGAACAAGTAGGAAGGCAAAAGAGAGAATGACTTCCAGGGAGCTGTTTCAGGTAGAGCTCCAGGAGCAGGATGAAAAGGCGAAGGTGCTAAGGAGGCTGTGAATGGCGCAGAAGCAAATGTCCGGCAGAGTGCCTACTCTTTCAAGAAGTTTTGCAGAAAAGGGAGGGAGCACATGGGGAGAAATTGTCAGTGGAAAGAAACAGAAAGAGAAGGGTTTTTTTGTTTGTTTTAGAAGGAGTTTCACTCTTGTCACCCAGGCTGGAGTGCAGTGGCATGATCTCGGTTCACTGGAACCTCTACCTCCCAGGCTCAAGCAATTCTCCTGCCTCAGTCTCACACCCACCTCAGCCCACCACCACATCCAGCTAATTTTCACTTTTTTTTTTTTTTTTTTTTTTTTTTTTTTGGTAGAGACAGGGTTTCACCATGCTGGCCAGGCTGGTCCCAACCTCCTGACCTTAGGATCCACCTATGTCGGCCTCCCAAAGTGCTGAGATTACAGGTGTGAGCCACCGCACCCAGCTAAGAAAAAGTTCTTTCAGATGCTGTAACATGATTATAACTAGGCAGAGGGTCTCAGCCCAGAAGCTCCTTCAGCTGATAAACAACTTCAGCAAAGTTTCAGGATACAAAAATCAATGTATGAAAATGAATGGCATTCCTATAAACCAACAACAGTGAAGCTGAGAGCCCAAATTAGAAAGGCAAGCCCATTCCCAATTGCCACCAAAAAATGTAAAATACATAGATATACAGCTACCCAGGGAGGAGAGGGATCTCCAACACTGCTCAAAGAAATCAGAGAAGACACAAACAAATGGACAAGCATCCCATGCTCATAAATAGTAAACATCAATATTATCAAAATGGCCATACCATCCAAAGCAATGTACAGACTCAATGCCATTCTTATCAAACTACCAATGACATTATTCACAGAACTAGAAAAAAAAAAGCTACTTTAAAATTCATATGAGATCAGGCGCAGTGGCTAATGCCTGCAATCCCAGCACTTTGTGAGGCCAAGGCAGTTGTGTCACTTGAGATGAGGAGTTCAGGACCAGCCTGGCCAACATGGTGAAACCCCGTCTCTACTACAATTACAAAAATTAGCCAGCGTGGTGGCATGCACCTGTAGTCCCAGCTACTAGGGAGGCTGAGGCAGGAGAATCGCTTGAAACCAGCAGGCAGAAGTTGCAGTGAGCCGAGATCCTGCCACTGCACTCCAGCCTAGTGACTGAGCGAGACTCCATCTCAAAAAAAAAAAAAAAAAAAAGAGAGAGAGAGAAAAAAAAGGTAGTTATTACTGGGGTAAACAGAGGGAGGGAAACGTCCTTAAGAGAAAGATAAGCCCAAGCTGAGGAAGAGGGGCAGGTGTGCAGGCTGGGAGTTAAGCCCCACTGGGCTCCTTTATGGGTAACGGCAGGACAGGACATAGGAGAGATACCAGCCTCCCAACTGTCACTTCTCAAGAATGCAGCGGAACTAGCCCCGCTAACTGCAATACTATGACAGGCGTTCTGAAAGGGCATTCCTCTTATAATTAGATACCGAGGCACTGGGAGGCAAATAAAAAGCATAATAAAAGCCAACGGTAATGAGTTTACCAGTCAGACATGGTGACTTATATTGTAATCCCTGCACTTTGGAAAAACAAGATGAGGCGGGAGGATCACTTGAGCCAGGAGTTTGAGACCACCCTGGGCAACATAACGAGACTCCGCCAAAAAATAAAAGTCAACGAAATTAGTCAGATATGGTGCTGGCACCTGTAGTCCCAGCTACTCGGGAGGCTGAGACGGGAAGATCAGTTGAGCCCAGGAGTTTGAGGCTACAGTGAGCTATGATAGCACCACTGCGCTCCCACCTAGGAAACAGAGTGAGACCCTGTCTCAAAAAAATTTTTAAACATTTTTAAAAATTAAGAGCTTAACTATTGTCTGTTACCATTATACCAAGGGCTTTACTTGGACCATTTTATGCAGTTCTCACAAGAATGCTACAGATTTAGTACCGATGCAATTACTCCCATTTCACGAATGTGGAAACTGAAGCTTTAAAGAGGTTAAATACCATGCCTATGTCTAGCATGTAAGCAATGGAGCTGAACATCTTAAGACTCCAGGACCTATGGTCCTAACCATGGTGCCTGGGATGGCTTACTGCCTCCCAGGTGAGCTGGAATAACTGGACCCAGACAGGACAATTAAGAAGCATTCCTGAAAATGGAGCATTTAGTATGTGCAGCGTCTTGGTGCAGCACTGAGGCCAGGGAAGATGCAATGAGATAGATTAGTGCCATTTAGTTAGATCCTAGCTAACCAAATGGCATTTTGATCCAATATTTTTTAAATCCCTGGATTCTGTTATAGGGGCTCCTCACTTTACAGAAATCTGATATTCAAAACCCAAACATAAGTAGAAATAACAGCTTGTTAATTGAGCATCTACTGTGTCCCTTGGCATCAAGCCAGGAGTTTTCTAAACATGACCTCAAAACTGCACAATTCTGCCAGGTGAAATTATTAGCCATAATCCCAAGCCAGGCACTATAAGCTGAGTTGTGATTCCCCAAAATTCAAGGGCTAAAGCCCTAAGCCCCAGTGCCTCTGAATGTGACTGTATTTACAGATAGGATCTTTAAGGAGGTCATTGGGTTAAAATGAGGTCATTAAGGGTGGCCCATAATCTAAAATGATTGATGTCCATGTAAGAAGAGGAGGTGAGGACACAGACAGACACTAAGGGGTGACCACGTGAGGGCACAGCAAGACAGCAATTGCCTGAAGCCAAGAGAAGAGGTCAGAGGAAACCAGCCCAGCTGACACCTTGATCTCAGACTTCCAGCCTCCAGAACTGTGAGACAATAAATTTCTG